TGGCTATTTTTTTGATTTCAGAAAAGAGGTCAGTGCTCCCGACTAAAGAGTCAGCTATTGCGTGTTTTAAAAACTATTGTAGTTTATACAGTAAATATTTCCCTTATTCTCCTTACACGTAGGAACGTGTTTGGAGAGCAGCCGGCAAGTCGCAGGCTTTGTTCCTGGGCTCCGAGTGCAAGCGGGGCCAGGGTGGGACGGGCAAGGCTTTCCCCGCTAAAATGCCGGCCATCGTTTCTGCAGAGAAAGCTGTGCGCCTTGCTCTGCCCGCTTCCTCCCAGTACCCAACCGCCGTGTGTGGCGTCATGGTCGGTGAGCTCTGCCACCAGAGGGCCCAAATAAGGGAGCGCGAAGTCCCGGCTTCCTCCCGGGCTCCAGCGCAAATCTGCAAAAGGCGTCGCGGAAACGAAGGGGTCGCGTCCACCCCCGAGGGCTTTACTGTGAGGTGGGTGGTCGGCTCCGGCAGCTGCGTGACCCCAGCGTAAGCGATGATTGGAGGAGCGGAGGTAACAGGTGGCCCTCTCGGCCACTCAGCGGCCGGGAAACTGTTAGTTCCGGGTGGAGGGTCGACGGCCGACGGGAGCCTGAGGCTTTTCCCTGAGTTAACATGGCTGCGCCCGGCAGGTCGTGGGGTCGTGGGTGAGGAAAGGTGGCAAAGCGTTCCCTCGGCTTTGCCTACGGTCCCCTCGGCGATGGCGCTTCGGTCAAGGTGCTGGGAGTTGTTGTCGGCTCTCAGGAACCCCGGTAATCTCGCCCCTTCTCCGAGATTCCTCCCCGGGGCCTGCAGGGTAACGTGCCCGTGCCAGTCGGGTCTTACATTCCACGTCCCCATCGAAGGGGGACGAGCCGACAGCATTGTGAGGGGGTCTGAGGGCACTGCGCCCCGTGGCCAAGCGCACCTTCTGTCCCCCGTCCAGGGCCAGAAGGTGGGGGGACGGATGGGAAAGGTCTGGTCTTGTCTGGGGTCCCTTTTAAAGGCGCGTGCGCTGGTTTCTGTTGCAGGGCGCGGTGTCGCGGCGCTGTCCACCCGTCCCGAGCCGGAGGTGCAGCCTGAAGCCGACCCTCTGGGAAACGAAGCTGTGGCCCCCGAGTTCACCAACCGGAACCCCCGGAATCTGGAACTCTTGGCCGTGGCCCGGAAGGAGCGGGGCTGGGGCACCGTGTGGCCCTCCCGGGAGTTCTGGCACAGGTAGGTCGGCCAGGGCCTGGCGGGGCCCCTTCTCGGGAAGCCGGGTGGTGGGTAGAGCAGGGGTCGGCGGAAGTGGGGCCACGGAAACAAACGAGAGGTGTCACGGAGGACACTGAAAGAGGATGCTGGTTGAATGGGGCGCGGGGGGGGGGGCGCCCAGTTATCTGCCAAGAAGAGCATTGCCGCGGAGGGAGCAGCAGGGCGGGCAGGAGCCCGGTGTGAGGTCTCGGCGGAGTGGACACGGGTGAAGGGTGCGAGATGAAGACGGGGAAGCAGGTGGGATACCGATGGATTCTTTACTTTGTAAAGCGAAGTGAGCACTTTAGACTGTATTTCCGCTGCAGCGAGAACCTGTGAGGGGATTTACAGGTGGAGTCCGAGTTAAAGGTCATTCTGGTTACCTTCGGGAGAAGACGTTTTTAAGGGGCGAGGGTAGAAGCGAGAAGATGGTTCCCAGTCTTGTATAAAGACGGTTATTTGCTGAACACTTTGTATTTGCCCGGAACTATGCTAGTTGCTTTATGCTTCAGGTCTTTGGTCCATTTTACACTGACTTTGGTGTGAGCTGGAAAATGCAAGTATAGAATAAGTTTATCTTTACCCAGTGTGGAGTCAGCAACTTATTTCTATCTACTCAGACCCTCTTCTAAAATAGATGCTGGGTAAATATAGCTCCATTCTCAGAAATACCAAGTTTCTCTTTGACATGAGAGGTTGAGCGGAAGTGCTTGGTTTATTGTTGAGGATATCCTCATAAAGGCAAGGAAAAATGCCTTTCCCAAGTAAAATCAAGGTGAAGTACATTGAAGTAAATGAGCACAATATTTAGGCACATATTCACCTGAAGTCACTTATCTTTAGGATTCTTTTATGATTTTATTCTCTCCTCATTTAGGCTGCGAGTTATAAGGACTCAGCACCATATAGAAGCACTTGTTGAGCATCGCAACGGCCAGGTTGTGGTTTCTGCATCCACACGGGAGTGGGCTATTAAAAAGCACCTTTACAGCACCAAAAACGTGGCGGCTTGTGAGAACATTGGACGGGTGCTGGCGGAACGATGCCTAGAGGCAGGAATCAACTTCATGGTCTACCAACCAACTCCTTGGGAGGCAGCCTCAGAATCGGTATTTTGGTTTTCATGTACTTACTTTAAAAGTATTGTGTTAATTCTTGACATTAGATACATAATAATAATAGTTCCATATTTCAAATTCTTTTCATGTGTCAGACTCTGAGGTGGGTATCCTGATGTGCATTACCTAGTTTCATCCTCACAGCAGCCCAAGGGGCAGGACTAGTGTTCCCGGTTCTGTAGATAAGTAACCCGAGACTGGCAAGTCCAGCCATGGTGGGGGAGGTTTCAAACCCACAGCAACTAATTCTACAGCCATGATGTCGACCACTCTACTTCCTTGTTCATATGTTAACACCCTGTCTGTATAATATTTAAAACACTGCTTGATATCCTTGAGGTTTCTGCATTCTCTGTTTTCTTATCTGGGTCGTTATAAAGGTCAGTTTCTGAAAAACCAGCGTAGGTGGGAAGTTAGCAAAGAGCAAATCAGTTGTTCTCTTTCTATTGGGAAGTAGACTGTTTATTGTCAGCTAACTTGTGCTGATTTAACCCTTTCCCTTTCTTGGTCCTTAAAACCAGATGCAGCGGCTGCAGAGGGCTGTGACGGAAGGTGGTGTGGTGCTTCGGGAGCCTCGGAGAATTTATGAATGAGACAAGCATTGTTTGGAACTTGTCAGTGTTAAGCTGTCAGCCATTACATCCCTCAGAAGGGAGCCCCTGGAAGAACAGCCGACTTGGAAGCTGTGCGCAGTAATGTAACTGCGGAGTGTTGTTAGCAGTTACACACAGCCCCTTCCCCCCTTGTGTGCGGGGAAGGCTAAAGTCTTTCCTCTTGGACGTGAGAGAAGTATCTGAGAAAAGCTGTCACCAGTTATAATTAACTTTTGAAGGACAAATTAAAGGTTTATCAGTTAAAGAATAAAGGCATAGTGTGAACTTTAAATTTCTAATTATATTAAATTTCTTCACGTTTTCGGCTCACTCTGGCAAGACTACACATATGAGGTTTATGCAAAGCACTTGTTATCATGTCTGGCTCATGGGTACATGATCGCTGTTGCTGCTCAGGATGTGGAGTTGGTATCATGTCTGGCTCATGGGGGTGATCTACATGATCGCTGTTGCTGCTCAGGATGTGGAGTTGGTTTTTAAATATGAAACATCAATATCGGTGTGTTATAAGCTGTCTTAGTGATGGGAGGATAAAGGACAAATTCTAACCCCAGTTGGGCTCCTGGACCCTGACGGGCAGAGCCAGATTTGAAAGGATAAAGGATTGCAACGAGGAACTGGAAATGGACAGGGACAGTGATTCTGAATTTGCCGTGAAGTGAACATTGTTAGATGGGAGACGAAGCTTGGAGTGCATCCAGTTCACCTGAAGTTGAAGCTGGGTTAGATGGGGTCATGGCAGCGCTAAAGGAGTTGATTAAATCAAGGTGTTGACCATTAGTGTGAAGAGGAAGAACCTGTGAACAGTTAGGTGGCTTCAGCGTTTCCCACTTGATGATTAAATGTGTGGCCGATTTTATTCTTATTTGGAAGTGGAAACATTACTACTGTCAATCTGGGTATTCAGTATGTTTATTTTATTTTTTTGTTGCGCTTCAATTTATTACTTTTCACAGGCATATCGTTTTCTTCGGGGTTTTTTTCAGTATGTTTTTTAAAGATAAGTGTATTCACCAACATTTTTTTTTAAGTATAATTGAGTCTGAGAGGCCTTCAGAATGCAATGCCTTAGTCCCCTTTTGATCAATAAATACCCCAGCGGAGACATTTATTTATTTATTATATAAACAAATTGGTTTTTAGGGACAGAAACATCGACCTGCACCTGCCCATTCATTGGTTGCTAAAACCCAACTCCTCAGAGCGAGCAGGAGGCGCGGGCCTTCAGCCCAATAGGGAGGCGCC